TCTCCCCAAAGTCCAGGAAATGGCATTTCAGAGAGTCTAGATTCAAAAATTTTCCGGGTGAGCCCTGGACCCCTAGAAAACTTGTGCATATACGGCGCTTGACTTGTGCCTTTGGCACTTCTACCAGGGGGCCTTCGAAAATTTTCAACCGGGGGCCCGTTGCTTTAACGTTACGCCACTGATAACCATCTTTGGACAGTGGCACGGTGGTAAACGAAAAGACTGTTCAATTAATAACCATTTTTAAACAGCAGCACGGTGGAAAGTGAGAAGACTGTTCAATTAATAACCATTTTTAAACAGCAGCACGGTGAAAAGTGAGAAGACTGTTCAATGAATAACCATCTTTGGACAGTAGCACGGTGGTAAACGAAAAGACTGTTCAATTAATAACCATTTTTAAACAGCAGCACGGTGGAAAGTGAGAAGACTGTTCAATTAATAACCATTTTTAAACAGCAGCACGGTGGAAAGTGAGAAGACTGTTCAATAAATAACCATCTTTGGACAGTAGCACGGTGGTAAACGAAAAGACTGTTCAATTAATAACCATTTTTAAACAGCAGCACGGTGGTAAACGAGAAGATTGTTCAATTAATAACCATCTTTAGACAGCAGCACGGTGGTAAACGAGAAGACTGCATGTTCGGTTAATAGCCCTCTTTAAACAGAGCACTGTAGAAAATGCTAACGTTATCATTTAAATCGTGTGTAGTATAGTTTGACTTTGTAAATTAAGCTAAAACTGTTTTGTAAATTAAGCTAAAGCGAACCTAGTCGTCAGGGTCCCTATCAAAGTTTTCATATGTGTTTACGTCATCATTATCGAGTGGCAGATTCGAGCACGCGTTGCAACAGCAAAGGTCAGTACAATTTAGGCCGTTGGAAACACAAACGCACATGTTATTTTGACAGCCTGATTTCTTGCAACCGCATGACAAAAACTCCAATAAGGAATCCGGTGCAGGCTTTTGACTCATCCATTTCGGTTCCAAAACTCCGTTCGATCGAAGCCAACCCCAACCCTCTGGCTGTGGAGGATCTGTGTTCATTGTCAATGCCGACTTCCAAATACACCTCACGTAGTTAGCACGCTGACAGTGAAGTAATAATTCGTCCTTGGTTGGTGGGAGTTGCTGTGGTTCTGGAATCTTATTTTTGGTGCAGAATTTCATGTAGCGGGCATCGTTTATACTGGTGCAGCCTTTAATGCCATAAAACTGAGCGACCATTTCTTCAACCAAAGGGAAAAGGTTCGTGTCGAAATAAAAACTATCGCCCATCTGCGCCAATGTTTCTTTAAAACGGCCAGAACTCTTGACGATCTTGTACACTTTTTGTTTTCCAAGGCCATAAAACGCACTTGTTGAATTACAACCGCTGATTGCGTGCAATGCTGGAAGAGCACTTGACATTTGTTCACCAACGCCCTCGGAAATGTTTTGGATTGATAAAATTCTCTTCTTCCCTTTTGAGCCTATCTCAAGAAACAGATTACAGTGGATTTGTTGTTTGAAATAGATGGCCAAGATTCCAACATCACTATCGACTGTTGAGATGCAAATATTTGGGTTCTGAAATCGGTGGACAGCATGCTGGCAACATAGAAACATCTTCGTATCAGCCTCTTCTTGGTTTGAACAAAGGCTTTCTTCCATGCCAATGACAACATTATCTTCTTCTACTCTCAGCTGGTGACACTCGCTCTCCAAAGTCAAGAACACAACTCTATCTTCGATAATGGTTTTGAAGCGTTGGGGGTGGGACCAATCATCCATGAAGAATCTCACCAGATCGACTTTGTTCACACCATCACTGAGATATTTCTTGAACTGTTTTGGTCGTTTCTGATCTCTTCTCGTTAACTGGATCCGAATACTTCCAGATGAAGCTCGTCGTTGGCGTTCACTTCCTTTTAAGGAATCATCAAGATATTGGTCAGTAACAAAATAGATCACTTTACCAGGACGAGATGTAATCCGCTTAAGGACATATTCTGACATTTCACCGAATGTTGCCAAACTCAAAGAAGCCTGCTTTCGAATAATAACCATGCCATCAAATATTCGTACACAATTGTCGGGAAGAGTATCCACAATCGAATCTTCTACATCCTTCTCGATAGCATCAAGCAATTTTGACTTAACAGTTTTAACAAAGCTTCCGTCGGCTGTTGCTAGCGACCATGGAATAGGGCTCAAGGAGTAGATTAGGACTTCTTTCAAGGAAACGTCGCGCTTACCACGTATTACTAATAGCCGTGCAAATATATCGCGGTCCGCTTTCAGCGTTAGACTTCTATCTTTTACGGTGCACGATTTCTTCGCCTTCATTGCCGCAAAAGTTTTCAGCTTCATTTTTGGAAGGGGGGTGTACAGGTCTTGTTCATTGGATTCTATCCGGTTTTCTATGAAGTTGTTTAGCGCTTCTTTGCCTTTTTTCATCATGATTTCAACGGCTTTAGAGTAGATCGCCATATCAAGTACGACATCTGTTTCATTTAAGCCAAGTTTCTCTGCTTTAAGTTTGGATTGGCTCAGAAGCTCCAATACAGTGTCGTGGGAAGTTGGAGATTTGCTAATGGATGGGAGGTATTCAATTTTGTCATAACATCGCTATCACCTTCGCACAGCAAATAATTGAAGCCCGTCCAGTTCAGAATATTCTGTTCAATGTTCCTCTTTCTTGCTTGGCTTTTGGCGATGATCCACGTTGTATCTACCACATGGGAATGTTGTACTTCTTCTTGGTACATATCAAGTTGAACTTCGGTTGTGCTTTCTGTATTTTTTCTCTTTATCTGAACATAGGATGGCATTTCAAGTGGCAATGCATTGAATTTTTTTGGTTTTTTCTTTCCAGTGCTCATCGCTGAGACAATGGTAGAGAAAGGCTCGGGTTCATTTAATGCTACTCTTGAGGACTGTATAACAATACCGTTGGTGCAATGCAAACTAAGTCCTTTTAGACTCTCAGGGTTAATATCATTGTTATCCCATACGAAGGTAACAAAGCGAGATGGTTGAATAATAGCTGGAGTAAATGATCGATGAACTTGATCCTTCGAATGTTCTAACGCCAAATGCGTCTCCAGTATTAGAACATCGTCATGCGAGACTCCGTGACCAAACTTGTTCGTCCAATTGATGACAGCCTTCGAACCGGTCTTTCTTTTAATCGAGAAGGAGAAAGTCGCGTGTTTCGATGTTTTCTTTTGACCATTGTTAGCATGATAAATGAGATCTTGACCAATTGAGGAAATCAAACGTGATACTTTTGCCGATTTTGAGGGCTTTTTAGTTAGGATGGATTTCAATAAACACGTTGTAAAATTTGGAATCGACGTTTCCTTGGACAACAGCTCGTTTTCTGACGGTGGCCAACTGCTATATGTATTCGGAGTCTCCAGTAATTCTTTCCGAATTTCCCGAGCAACTTCCGCTGTTTTCTCCTCTAACGTGCGTTCTTCCCATCTACTTTTCTCTAGTTTCGCTTTAACAGCTAATTCGATCAGTTGCCCCTTTTCTACGCTATTATTATAAATATATTCGCTGCCGGACTTCGGACACCAAAACCCAAGTTTTGAGCCAAATGACCTTTTAATATTTTCTTTTAGCCTATGGGAGGGTGGCAATGTAATCTCAGATTCCTCACCAAACAGTCGAATTTTGATCTCTGAGCACAACGTCAACATATCAACCAAACGTAAAACCTCACAATCGAGGATCACCTTTTCCTCAATAACTGCGGTAAGCTCCTGAAAAACGTTATCCGCCTCGTTCAAAATGACAGCGTTTGACGCTCTTTTTTTGCAAATTCCTCGATAACACGTCGATGGTAAAAATATTCCGTTGCAAGTATCGTCTGCCAGGCACTGCCAAGAACTTTTGCTTGCAAAAGTGAGTATTCGTGAAGTGCAGCAGCTTGTTGCAATGTTCGAGCCTCGTTCTCAGTTTCGCATTTCTCAGCTTTATAAACTGACTCTCTCGAAGCTTTGCTTAAACTTATTATAGGTTCCGCAGTTTTCATGCACGTGCAATTGAGAATACAACCATGATTTTCCAGCTTTTTTTGCTTTTTTGGAGGTGAAACATTTACGTTAACCTCAAGAGGGGTTGTAGTTTTTCTAGTTTTTGACATAACTCAAAAGAACTTTCAATTTTTCAGACTTTTCTGAAATTTGACACCCTTTTTCATGAATAATGAAAACAAAAGACTCATGGTGTTATAATTTGCATACTTGAAGTATCTCCGCTGCCGCTGGACAGAAACACTGAGGGCTCGTTTCTTCCCGCGAAAAACATAAACAAAATGGCGTTTTCTAAAAATCAAGCGATGATGACAGAAAAACTTGTTGGACAAGCCCCACAACAAAAATTGGACCAGCCAACATCCGGAAATGTATTTAGGAGGTTTAGAAGAACATTTCTATCATAAAAAGAAATTGCCCCTTGATCGGGAGTAAACACTCATATTTCGACCTCTATCTGCCTGACTATTTACATTTGTCTGGATGTAGCTTTAATCTATTTTCTTCCGGCCATTGCTTAATATGATCTGCTATGTTTTGGGCTGTACTAACATTGCCTTTGGGAAGTATTTCCGATGCTGTTGTATCATACACGAACTTCCACAGGTATGGGGAATTAATATTCAGGTCTTGGATCATTAAAATAAATAACCATGGACCTAGCTTTGTACCTTGCGGTACACCAGACGGAACAAGGCCCCACTCAGAAAAACTGCTATCGGCCAATTTCACTCTCTGCGTTCTATGAGAAAGAAAATCTATTATCCAGTTAATTATACTTCTAGGTATGTTCAAATTACCCAGTTTCTTTACAAGAATTGTACGGTCGATAAAATCGAATGCCTTGCGATATTATTATTATTATTATTATTAATAAGCTTTATTTACATGACCTAATTACAGGTATTGCTAAGCGTAATGGAAAATATATAAAAGTTAACTAGTATAAAAACTATTTTAACTAACGGAAAACAATATACTGCTATTTACATGTATAATATATCAAATAGGAAGGATATATGACAGAACAAATATCAAAATTTAAGAAAGGATTAGAAAGAGTGAATATAGAAAAAGGGAAAGGAAAGTTAGATAATATATAGAAACTTGTGACTTCTGGTTTAAGGGCTGTTGTCTCTGATATAAAAACATTTCGAAATATGTTCCGAAAATAGACCTGTTATCACAGGGTCATTCAATGACATAAGATCACTTAATAATTTTCTCTTTAATTCATCAGTGATGCTCATTTGGAAATAGTTTTTTAGGATGTTGTGCGAGTTATTTCGCAAATTCTGGTATTTTTCACATTCAAATGAGAAATGAAATTCATCTTCAACTGCAAGTTTATCGCAGTATTTACACAGTCTCTCCTGTCGAGGTAGATCGCTATAACGACCGAACTCAATTTCTAGTTTATGATTACTTATACGAAATTTTGAGAACAGTCTTCTTTGGTTAGGGTCTTTAATGATATTTAGATATTCTTCTAAGTTATAGTGTTTTTTAAATGTAGAATAAAATGACAAATTACTAGAGTTTTTAATTTGATGTTTCCAAAATGATGTGTAGTTATCTTTAATGGTTTTTACAAAATCGTTTATGTTTGTATCCTGGACAAATTTTTCAATATCTATTGTATCTTCGATATTGGGATGAAACTTTTTAATAATGCTTGCAGCATTAGAATAGAATGAATCTTTACCGTTTGAGTAAAGTCTTTTTGATAGGTAAAAAGTTTGTTTCGCTATACTTGTATCTGGTAATTGACTAAGGTGGTTAATGTAAGAAAATAATCTTTTGAATATGGGTAGTAATAGAGGGAATTTACCTAATTCACCCCTAATAGCGATATTGCTCGCTTTTCTGTTCACACCTAAATAGAGTTTGCAAAATTTCAGATGTGTTTTCTCAGTACTAGTTTTGTCCCATTTAGTAAAATTGTTGTTACCATAGGCTCCCCAAACCTCAGAATTATAAAGCAAGATTGGAGAGACTATGCCATCAAAGATTTTTATGGCAAGTTTTGGTGTAAGTTTATGAAAATCAAGATTTTTCCGTATTTTAAATAAGGCATGCATAGCCTTTTCACTCAGTTGTTGAGTCGCAACTGAAAATTTAGTGTTAGGAGTTAGTTTTAGACCGAGATAAGTGTATTCGTAATAATCAAACAATATTGTCCTTATTGTTGCCCCATTCCCGTCAGTGTTTATAAACCAGTGATGCAGCATACTAATTAACGCCATAGTGGTTGACGAGTTTGGAATCGCTCCATATTGACTAACATCGATTATGTCTAGAATTGCCGGTTTAACATAATCCTCAACAATGAATTCCTCTGCCACTTTAGAGATGCCGGAGGTCAGGGAAATAGGCCTGTGATCTTTTTCCAATATAGTCACTGTTTTTTTTTTGGTAACGCCGAAACATTTGCTTTCTTCCAGAAAGTAGGCAACTGCTGTTCGTAATAGGAAGCATTGATAATTTTCATGACGGGAAGGGCCAAAAGATGAGAATATTCTTTAAAAATCCAGTTTGGTAGCGCCTTATGAGGATTTAATTTTGCTAGAACTTTTTGAACACGTTTTTCAGTAACTTCCAAAAATTTTGGTGGGTCTTCTAACGGAAGACGTTCGAGGGGTTCTGATATTCTGTATTCGGCCAAGGGTGCAAGAAAGGCAGTATTAATGGTATTAGCTTGTTCATGTGGAGCGAGGTTCGTAAATCCTTCGACATTGATATGATAGGATAAATTTGTGCCGGCCGTCTTTATTCCACTTAACCGCTTAACTTCATTCCACCACTTCCTTGGGACTTCTCCTTTAAGTTGTTTAACGTTGGATTCGTAGTATTTTGCCCTGTAGACTTTTCTTTCTCTGTTGACACAATTTCGGTAATATTTAAATTGGGGGGAATGTACACCGTGCGCAATGAAAGCTTTTTCTCTCTTAAAAAATAGCGATTTAAGCTTTTGGTTCATCCATGGAGCGTCAGCTGGGTGAATACGAATTTATTTTTCTGACATTATGGTGTCTAGTCCAGAATGAACTACTTCTTGAAAGACTGTCCACATATTTTCGCAAGTATCCAAGGGACTGAGCATTAAGGTCCAATCAATTGAACTTAAGTATCTTCCCATTTCTAATTTACGACTTTTCCGCTGGTCACGTATTGTTATCGATTTTTTAGTATTATTCTTCTGCACTGCAATTTTCCCTGTAGCTACTATTGTATTATGATCGGACAGCCCAAATCCTGGATAACCTTGAGGTGGGTTGTAAAACTTGTGCATATTAGTTAAAATGAGATCTAGCGTAGCATCGTCTCGAATAGGTATCTTTACAATTTGCTTGAGACGAAAGTGATTTAGCAACCGGGTAACGTTAAGACGATTAAAATCCCCAGTTATAATGATTCCGCAGTTTGGATATTTTGATTCTACCAAAGTGATTGTTTGGAAAAGATGATCCTGATATAATTTTCTATCTGCCCCAGGTGGGTGATATATTACCGCTATAATTATGCATGTAAATACGCGAGGGAGACGGGTTGGTCTCAAGTAAATCCAGCAATTCAGGTCGTCCAGACGTTTATATTTATATTGTGATTCTCTAACGTAGGCACACACGCCTCCATGATTCTGCGATGATCTATCCCTGCGCAATAAGGTGAAATTTGGAATAACAATGACACTGTCTGACACGGATTCTTTCAACCAGGTTTCTGTTATGAGGGCCAGATTAATTTCATTACGAATAATAAATTCATTAATTTCATCGATTTTTGGTACCAGGGACAAGACATTTGTTAACATTAACTTCGGTACTTTAGGAATTATTTGAATGGAACTGCTTAATAATAATACTGGTACCAATTCGCTTGGTCTTTCATGTTCGATGTTATACGAAAACCCTGCGCTCCAATTTTATCACATTTTTTTAGCTTTGACGATACCGGGTTTTGTTGATTTATTCTGCTTCCCGATAATAATAATAATAATAATAATAATAATAATGGAAACTTTATTTATTGATTATTAAGATATATATAACTACAAAGATAAACCTCACTTTACAGGTAGTTCATCAATGTCTACTTGAATTGATACTAGTGTTTATTATACAATAATTATTTTAAGGCGGATTATATTGACATTAGTTAATTTTGGATTATCCCACACCTTGTTTCGTTTGCAAAATATATAATATGATGTTCGTATGCACATGTTCACGATTTTCTTTTTTATGTATTTACAAAATTTGGGATCACATTTAAGGCTTCTTAGCATGCCATCAAAATTTTCGGATGATCGGCTGAAAACTCCAAGTGTACTCAATGATAAATTGACGAACTTGA